ATGCAACTGAGCATAAAAAAAACGGTTTATGGACTAATGCAGGATTTGGTTAAACATTTAAAAACATGGCGGACGCTTTTAGCGCCCACTAATCCTCTTAGGATAACAGCAGCTTCATTGACTTCTAATTTCGTGTAAAGTTGTCAGATGGTCAGAGTATGTGCTGTAAGACGAACAACCGCAGCTCGTGCGTGTCTGTGTTATTTCTAACAGGAGCTGAATGATGATCTGTATCAAAAGATAGCAGCAGAGATGAACCTGTCAGAAACAGCTTTCATCACCACAATCAACCCTGCTGACACTTTCACAACTGGTAACTGCAATTTAACACATTCCTGATGTCAGATATTAAGTTAACATATCAATGATTTAAACAGAAATGCACCTTTTTATGTTTGGACAACATCTCATGAAAATGTTCCTCAGTATTTGATAGTAGCTGATGTTCCAAGCTTTCACATCATCTGATAAAACTAACAACAACATGATGTTTCACTCTTCATACAAGAGCTGGAATATTATTAGTGACATGATATTTGTAGGATAAACTTTAAAAGGACTTAATGCTTTAGTATTATTATTTTGTGAACTGCTGACTGTTGTTACACAACTTATTTCCCCTTTTCTTCCCTTTCTCATGAAGTTGTACCCGTAAGTCATTGTGACGGTTACATACGTTACATATCAGCTCTCCATCTTTATCTTTCACAACAGTGGCCTAAAATGTACTAGTTTAATCATTTTTATGTTACCCACCATGTAAAACCATACAATTTGAAAGTAACTAGTGATTTAAGTTGATATAATAAAATACACAGCTGAAAAGATTATGAGTGGAATCAGAAAGTGCCATACATTTAAAAAGAAACAAAACAACACTTAAATGCAGATATTTTTCAAAGCAGAGTAAAATCATAGTATGTCAGTAGTGATATATTCACATATTTTAGAAAAAGATGGTCTTGAAGGCAACATTAATGAATTACAGCTACATCTGTGGACATTCTGTGATAAGAAACAAAGGCAAATGATCTAAGGTTGAAGGTGTTTTACTTTATTTTATATTTTAAGAATATAATAGCTGAGTATGAGGTGAGTTACAGTAGTCTTTTTACTTTAGGAAGTGTGCTCAAACTAAAGCAACTTGTGTAGTCAGCAGTTTGAAACACGCAGTGACGTTAAACACACAGCTACGACTTCCATTGATTCAAGTTGAATGAACAAATTAGTCTGAGCTGTCACATTTAAAAATGCAGCAGAAAACACCAAAGGGTTGTAGCAAGCGCATACAGCTTGAGAATATCAAGAATGTTTGATATCTTAAAAGACGAGATGCTCGCCTGAAGTTATGATGTGATCGACAGGTTCAAGGTTTCGCCTCCGATGGTTCACACCAACAACTGAAGTGAATCTGTGCGGTCACGCCACCCTGGCCTCTGCAGCCGTGCTGTTCCAGCATAAAAGTAAGACTCAACAAATACTGCTGGGGACGAGACAGTATCAAAGTTTACGACAATCACCGTGTGCAGCGTTATCATGATAAGGACTGCTGTTAAAGGATTTAAAATGTGTGAAAAATTAGCAAACACCACTTTTATAAATTTGAATCACTCAATCAGGACTAGAGAAATTGCATTTCCTGCAAAAATGTAGTGCAAATACTTATTGCTAATGAACTTGCTGAAAAACAGCTGAAATTAGCTAAAAACATGCTGAAATGTAGCTGAAAAGGAAGAACAAACCAAGTTAGCTGAAGAAAGCAGAAGGACACATATTTGCAGAATTTGGTTTATATAGGCAGAAATTAGCACAACAATGAGTAAATTAGCTCTAAAAGCTGAAATTAGCTAAAAATACCCGAAAAGGTAGAAAGAAAGGTGAAAGAATAAAAAAAAAAGGTGCTACTGTTCGGTGTATTGTTTTTGTACTAGTAGTGCTTTGCATATTTTTAGTTAAACGTTTTTCTGAGTTCATATCTTAGATCTTATTACAGTTTTTCTTTTGCATTTTATACTTTTGTTGGATGTCACTGGGACCCTGTGTACACAATGTTGTTCCACCACATGTACCACATGTGGTGCGTATGACAAATAAAGAAACTCTGACTCTCTGACTCTGAAGAAGCTTACATAACCAGAAGGAAGTGGAGAGAGTATAATTGTGCCCAATTAGGCTGAAAGAAGCAGAAATTAGCACAAAAAAAGTAGAAATTATCTGAAAAAGCTGAAATTAGCAAAAGTAGCTGCAAAGTAGCTAAAAAAGCAGAAAGAAGTCTAAATTAGCAGAAGTGGAGAGAGCACTTTCTTGGTGAATTAAGTTGAAATAAAAAGGAGTGCAAAAATTGTGAAATTAGCTGAAAAGGCTAAAATTATCATAAAGCAGCTAAATAGTTGCTGAAATAACTGAAACTAGCATAAATAACCACGGTAAACTGAAAGGAGCATAACAAGCTGAAATTAGCAGAAATAAGTTAATCAGAGTCAGAGAGATTTATTTGTCATACATACCACACGTGATACGAGGTGGGACAAAACTATGTACATAGGGTCCCAGTTACATCCAAAAAACCCACAAATTGTAAAGAAGAACATTAGTAAGATCCAATTCATGAACTAAGAATATACTACATTCACTAAACTAAGAATACACAAAGCACTAATGGTGCAAAAACAACGTGCCAAAACATAACTTAATTAGGCTGAAAGTAGCAGAAATTGCCATGAAAAACTGGAATTTATCTGAAAACAGCTGAAATTAGCTAAAAAATACTAACAAGCTAGCTGAAAAGGTAGAACAAGCTTCGATTAGCAGAAGAACACGTTTGCCCATTGGCAGAAAGAAGCAGAAATGAGCACGAAAAAGTGGAAATTATCTTAAAAAAGCTGAAATTAGCACAAAAAAACAAAACAAAACAAAACAACAACAAAAAAAAAAAACAGTTGAAGTAGCTCAAAAAATCTGAAAGAAGCTTAAATTACCAGAAGGAAGTTGAGAGCACATTTTTTTACTGAATTAGGCTGAAAAAAGTTAAAACAAGTGCAAAAAATATAGAACTAACTGAAAAAGCTAAAACAAGCATACAAACAGCTAAATAGTAGCTGAAAAAGCAGAAAAAGTTGAAACTTGCAAAATAAGAAAGGAGCATAACAAGTTGAAATTAGCAGAAATAAGTTAGAAGGAGCACAAAAATGTTGTAGTTAGCAGAAATAATCTAAAAGGAGCACAAAACAGCTGAAAGTAGCTGAAAAAAGTTTAAATTTGCACAAAGCTGAACCAGAATAAAATGAGAATGGAGCAGTAAAAGGCTGTAAACAGATCTAAAGATATGAAGGGTGTAAAATGAGCTCAATTCATTTTCTATGTGAAAAAAATGTGGCAGAAAATGATAAATATTTCAAAAAGCTAAAGTTGCACCAAAACCAAAGGTCATAGCAACCTTTTACTGAACGAGCCGAACATTTTGACATATGATTTGTTGAAATAGCACAAAAACTGTGTAACAAGAACAATGCCAAAAAAACATACGGAAGAAAAATGGATCACAACGGTGTGAATGCTTCACAAACATTCACACCATGATTGAGTTCTTCTGGTGTTTACTGTAAGGAAACAAGATGTATTACTGATATTAAACACTGTTAAAAGTCATGAAGAATTTGTTGCAAAGTTATTTTTTTGCACAATGTAAGGTTTTAGTGTTGAGCAAGAAAGGAAAACGTGTGTTTATCATGTTTACTATTTGTGCTCCATCAGAGAACGTTAATCCAACACTGGTGTTTGAGACCAGGAGTGGAGAACTGGCTGTTACACGGAAAAAGGATGGATTCAGCATGGACTTTCCTCTGAATCCTCCCACCCAGGAGGTACACGACACAAACACAGCAGGGAAAAATATGTCAACGCAAACAATCCAGGTTTTCACCATTTCCCCCCTTAAGTATGGATGAGATTTAAGAATTTAATGTTCAGTTTAAAATTCAGTAAACATATAAGTGCCATTTACAACTTTAGCTGAAATATCACAAATTGTGCACTTTGTTTTTTTCTTTTCTTGTATTTTTACTGAGAGACATTAAATAAGTTTGGGCTAATTTAGAATAAAACGTAAAACATTAAAATACTGTTACTAAAATATATATATTTTTAAATTCTCAGGATCCTGATGACTTCAAAGACATTATAAAGGTACGAAATTACATTTGTACAAGTCATAAGCTCATCTACATGAATACTGTTCAGTGTGTAATTACAGTTGGTGCGTTTAAACGCGTGGATGTATTTTCATGGAATACAGGTTGCAGTTGGAAACCTCCCAGTTCAGGGTGTTTTTCTGAGCACAAATGTGAAGAAGCTGATGATTCGGCTGTCTGACGGCTGCGACAGGTTTGTCTCTAACCTCTTCCTGTTTTATGAGCAGCGCCAGTCTCTTCTCGCACTCACTGTAAATGTCTGAATCGGAGAAAATGTTTTAATTTCTCCCAAAGTTGGACAGAAATTTAAACCTCTGACCTTTCTGACGTACTTCTCAAACAGCACTGAACTGTGTATGCGTATAATCTTTAGGTCAGTGCTAACGGGTCTGAAAGTTGACGCCGCTGCTCTCCTGAACGTCGAGACAAACGGAAGAGTCAAATCAATTATTGTCACCATGAAAGGTAACCAGGACAGCATAACGCACCAACACAAGAAGCTGTAATTTCACATAAACTTGTTTGCTGCTCATTTTCAAGTATTTTATATTTGGCTGTTGTTGAACGTCTTTTCTCATTAGCCTTAAACATGAATAGTACTGTTAGGACTTGAGTCGCAGAACATCTTTTCCTTCAAATATTTTCACAGGGTCACCAGACTGTCAGCCGGGGTATGACTTCTACTCCAGGAACTTTGCCCCCTGGGTTGGGATTGCAGAGGATCCTGTCACCGGTAAGATGATCGCCATCATTAGTCACTATGGCTTCTAAAAAAAAACAGATTTGATATAACTGAGGTTTAATTTGTACTTTTTCTGCTGTACATGGTCACCTGCGTATTATGGTAGTATAGAAGTACTCACGCAGACAGTATAGTTGTGTGTTTTGTGAAAGGAATTTGTAAAGACTGTGGATTTTCTATTCTGGAAGGTTCAGCACATACTGTCCTGGGAAGCTACTGGTCAAAAGAACTAGGAAAAAAGAAAATGTTAGGTAAGTTTTAAAATTAAATAAACCAAACCTCAGATGAATAACACAAAATACATGTATGTGGTATACAAAACCAAAGCTTGATTGCACAAAAAATAGTTTTTTTCCTTATGAACAAAGTCCATGCTCAATAATCCAGGTACACAATTCAACAATTTTCAGTCAGTTCATCTGGACAGTTTCTTTTTTTTGTGCTGAAACGTTTCACCTTCCATCCAGAAGGCTTCATCAGTCAAGGAAACACTCAACACAAAACTGATTCTTCCCCCAAACAGCTTACTCCAAAGAGGAACAAACCAGTTATGTTGGTGCTAAGATGGTGTCTTT